CTTGGCATTTTCTCTGTGGCCTACCCCCCCTTGCCTTGCTCGTGGTGGCTGGGGCGGTGGCAGAGCCCCCGTGCAGGAATGCAGCACAGCAGCACAGCCCACACCTCCGCCCCCCAGCCTGGGGCCTGGCAGGCATTGCTGCAATGTCCAGCCTGGCTTATCAGCATCAGCAAAACAACCAGGCGCTGACTGTGCTTGTGAACACAGGCTTAGCTTGAACTTAGCTCTGTGGCAAGCACGGACACAGGCACAGCTTGTTTGGCTGTGTTTTCTGATCTGCACCGAGCTCGGCGTGTGCTTGCCTACAAATGCAGTTAAGCCAGAGCCATACATATATTGCAGCCGTGTGATCATCTTCCCAGATCAACAGAGCTGTCTGCGTTGGCACAGATCCCTCCTGCACTGTCAGAACTGCGCAGCGCCTGGTGTAGCTCGTTGGACTCGTTACGTGTGGTTGTGCTTTGGGAAGTGTCGATAGGGCTCTGCACACAGCTTTGTCTGGCATAATGAAAATACTGCCTGCAGAGCTGGGACACTCCTAAATGGAGTGATCAGCTTAACGCTAGTTCAGATTTTCAGTGAGGAAGCAGTTTTGAAAGAAGCCGGGGTTTGTTCTGATTGTGTACATCCGTACGTGTCGCATGCATACCGTTTGCATATTGACCAGCGGTATCTGTTAATGTGCTGTTAATAAAGGATTTATAGCTAGACAACATTCCAGCTGGAGACTCGGCTTATTTACAAGATGATATAATCAGGCACCAGTCCGAGCACTGCACTAAGAGACTATAGGAGGTTTCGGAGCTGAGGTGAAAACTCGTAGGTGGATCTTTCATGGGCTGTAGCAGAGTTTCATTAATCATGCAGAGGTATATGAAAATTGGAGCTGATAGCATATAGTTGGTAAAAAAAAGCTATACTACAGTTATAGAGACACCTTTCCTCCAGATATACACCCTGTTTTCTGTTACTTGTCTATCTGAAGAAGAGCAAGTATATATTTTAGAGATGATAGCAATATAACTAATATTTTGTGTCACCTTACTTACCAACCTGCTGTCCATTACTGCTGACAAAAATTGCCCTTGTACTTGCCTTTAAGTAAGAACACATTGCTAATTTTGCAGCCAGTTGCTCTGCAGTTTTATTTTCTTTCAACTAATGATATAATACACATTTTCAGAAAAGAAGCACTTTTGGAAAATGAACCTGTCTTCACCCTCGTCTACTCCTCCGGGCATTTTTTTAGCGTACAGGTGTCCCTTTTCATCTGCGTGAAGCCTGTACTGTCAAAAATAGAAATACCGCAGAACACCTGTCCTAACAGCAGCTTGGAGTGCAAATCTTGTCAGTTAAAGAGATTTGTTGCTCTTTTTTTTTTTTTTTCCTGCAGATTGTAGGCAAAGTTGTGCAATGGGCTGGAGATGTTCTGTTAAGGAGCAGAACAGGTGATAGCGGTATCCTGTCACGGTCTTTATCTCTGAGCAAAGGGACTTAGAGCTCTGAGAGGCAAAGCCTCAACAAGGTTGTGGTGTCTGTTCCGGGGCGAAGATGAAAGCTCATTCTGTAAGACGCAGGCTACGAAGCCCAGCTTGAGCTTCCTCTTTACAGTGCAGAGAGGAAGAAGCATTAAGAGAGGAGGAAACATAACCACGTGCACACACACACTTATACACACACATACATACACATACTAAGTTTGATGCATATATGAAATATTATGTTGTCAGAACAAATCCTGGTAGCAGTACTTTTTTATTAGTTTTGAGAAGACGGCTTTTGATTCTAATGGAAAGGAAATCTACCGTCCACAGCATTTTTGCAGACTGCAGGTTTTACTGCAGAAGGTGTTTTCTGTTCGTATGACACCACATCACGATACAGGAAATAACTTGTGGTACTTTATTTTCCTGTTCCAAGAAATCTCATCAAAGAATTTGTTTTCATGCTGAGGAGACACCTGGTGATGTTGGCAGTCTTTGATGGGACCCTGTGCAATGCTATTTTTGAACGCATTGAATCTCCAGCAGCCAGCAGAGTGAATCGCATTCAGGTTTTGAAGGAGTGGAACTAAGAAATCCTGAAAAACAAACAAACAAACACAAAAATAAATAAGTAAGGTGTTTTCTTCTATGGCACTTTTGTATGAAGCTCCCCAGTTCAGAATATATACTGAATATATCCCCAGTTTGGGATATACTGAAATCTCACCAAAGTAATGTTAAGGGCATGTGTATTGGCCTAGATTTAAGATCACGGAAAAATGGCAATGTTTGTTGGAGGGGAATTTGGTTGGTTATTTAGTTCAACCTCTAACTCAGAGAAGTGCCACCACCACCATTAGATGGGGTTTGGTGTTGCTGAATTGTGACAAACACAAAGGATGGAGACTTTCCAGCTTGCCTTGGTAACCTGTTCCCGTACCACACTGCCTTCCGACTGAGTTTTGGTTTCCTGATATTCAACCTGAGTCTCCCAAGCCACAATCTGTGGCCTTTGCACCTTGCTTCTGTCTTCTGGCACCGCTGGCAGGAGTTTGCTTCTGGCATCTCTGTAAATGCCCTTCAGATAGCTGCGGGCAGTTCTTAGGGGCCCCCCCCCAAAACTCCTCTCAGCAGCCCACTCAGTAGAAGGGAATAAGTTTCCCTCATCGTAATGTAGCCCAGCACGTGGCTTGCCTTGTTCAAGACACGAGCACGCTGTTGGCTCACGCTCAGCCTGGCATCTGCTGTAATCCCCAGGTACTTTCCAGCAGGGCTTTCCTTTCGTGCTGGGGCAGGGGCAGGGTGATGCTGGCAGGATGCAGCGCTCAGCCAGAGCCCAGGGGGTCAGCTCCAGTGATGTGGAGGAGGTCATGTTCCTGCTGCCCTGCTTCTGACTCTCGGCTCTTCTTCTGTCATGAGACTGAGCATATAGGATGGAGAGTTTCCAGAAATGTGCATGTCCTGTCCCTGGCAAATCCAGCTCTGTTCTCCTGCAGTTTCAAATTCCTTGGAATTTGAGTAGCCTTTCTGGTGCGAATTGTGTCAGCGCTTCATTTCCTGCAATGCAGTCGCCCTGCAGGAAGAGCCATGCAGAGGCAGCAGCGTGTTTACTTCCACTTCTTTAAGGATTGCCTCACAGAGAAATACAGTTCTTGACGGTTATGTTGCAATGCTTCATCCTTTGGTAATGCCCACATACACTAGGAACCAAATTATGTCCCGGCTTCGTGCAACAATAATCTTGAAATTCGTATGCTGGAAATTCACATGGGATCATTTGCCCTAAGGGCTAACAACTCTTCACAGTCTCTTGGGGTTTTGATGTTTCCCAAAGCCTACATTAGGGCTGCTTCTGCCGCTCACAGCCTGCTGCTCTTGCTGCCCAGTGAAGTGGCGTCCACATGCCTGCCATGCTCAGCAGGAAAATTAGCTCAGTCTGAGCACTACAGTGGGTTTCCCAGGGGGCTGTCTGGAGAACGATGACCTTATTTCTAGGTTATTTTCTCCTCCTTCTTCCCAAGTGAATATTTCCATTAGTGAAGGACATGATCTCCCCTGCTGTGTCCTGCTTGCTCTCTGTCATTTGCTGGAGGCCTGGCGATGGAGCTATCTTGAATCCAAATTTAACCCTGTGTCAAGCGTGCATCGCCACTCTCCTGAAATTTAGCTGCTTTCATTAGGTAGAGTTGGATGGCGTCTTGTGATACAAAAAGATGTCACTGAAATTAATGGGAAGGTTAGAATTCTTCCACTTACATCCTGCGTAACCTACTGAGAATAATAAGTAGACAGAATATAACAAATAGAAGTGTCTTTGGAATTGCTCTGTGAGAACATTGCTTCAATTATTCGGATGAGCTTCTTTTTCACCTTAATTAGCAGAACTGTGTCTGGTTCATTTCAAGACCTATTAGAAATAATATTAACTGGGGGCAGTTTCTCTTCAATTACTGTACCAGAAGGATGAGGTGCATGCAGCTTCAGTCCTGTTTTCCATCATGCGGACATTGGAAATGGTCATTCCACTGACGACAGAGCACAGATTGTTGTTTTCATAACGACATTGCTCTCTGTGCTTTAATCAGGCTGATCAGCAAGAAAGGAGGTGCTGGAACAATGCTGTGCAGGACAAAGAGCTGGAGAGGAAAGAAGAACAAGTGGCATGGGTGGGAAGTGGTGCACAGCGGCACTGGAGGAAAGGGGAAGGAAGAGCTTGCTAAAATGTAAAATCCAGTGCTCTTTAAAAACATTTTACACTTCACATACCCATTCTGATCCTCTGTGCAAAGCATTGCAGCCATCAGGCAGTGCTGCACTGAGGGTGAATTTGGAGCCCTGCATATGCTGAGGAAGTACAGCCTCAGTGCTTGAGCACATCGCTGTCTCTCTGAGTCTTACTGAGGGAGCACTGTCATTTGCAATCAGAAAACAGATAAAGAAATTCTTTACAACACCTGACTCGGAAGGTTTGGTACCGGTATGAGAGGATCTGCTGCAAACTCAGCAGCAATAAATGTGCGTGTGTGTGTTTGCTCACGGGAGCCACGTGTCACAAACGTGTTACAGACCCACGGCTGCTGCCCCGATGCTCCTCTCTCCTGCCACTCTGGCTTCTGCCTGGCTGTCCCTCCCCATGGCCAAGCGTTCCCCAGTTGTGCTCAGCCCCCCCAGTGCATCCTCCCCTGCCTTGTCCCCAGGAGAAGCCGTGGCCCAGCAGAGTGCTGCTGTCCTCCACCGCACGTGTTCCTGCAGCCAGGTTCTGCCTGTGATGTCTCCTGCCTACCTAGCTGTATTTTCTCAACAGGAAACCACAAAGTAGACAGTCACAGATTACAAAAGATGCCATAAATCAGCATGCTCAGACCCCATATGTAACAGAAGCACAGTGTGTATTTAACTCTTCAACAGACAAATATTTCAGGGATTGTGTGCTCTCAGCTCTGTATTTGTATATATACATATATTGCATATATATAATTTATAATTAATACATTTTAAATAATAGATATTGTAAAATGCAAATAGATATTTTTATTTATTTACAATAGATATTGTAAAAGCTGGTACAAGAAGCCATGTGAAAGGGCGTTGGCTTCTATCTCAAAAGACCAAGGGCTCTCCAAGGGTGGAGCTCCCAGGGAGGGTTGCCCAATACCTGGACGTGCCGCAGGCAGGAGAGGAGGCTGCTGCCAGAATTTGCGCTCCCATCCCTGCCTCTTGCAGCACAACCACGCTGCTGGGCTTGTGCCTTCAGCCTGCGATGGGCATGTTAGTGTGGAGCACGGAACTTGCTGGCTTCTCAACAGGATGAGCAGCAGCCGTCCAACCATTGTGCTAAGCTCTGTCTGAAAGGATGGCAGCAGGCTTCAGAGTGACAGAGCAGTGGAAAGTTTGGAAGAGTGAAACACGGCGTTGGGTTGGCCATGAGCTGGACCATTCCTTTGGGATCCGTGCAGAGGATCACCCACACCCTCCAGCCAAGTCCTCTGCTGCCCGTGCCTGGTGGATAAGCTCTCTGAGGCTGTGGGCAGCCTGTGCCCTGATCCTGCTCACCCTATGGAGGAGGACAAGAGAGGTTACCCTGCTGTGTTGCGGGAAGCCAGGTGGGCCAGGGCTTAGTGGAGGCCAGAGAGAGGAGGTTCATTCATCAGCCTGTTACCTGCTCACAGTATTGGCCAATCTGCCTTCCCCTGGCTGAATTCAGCGATTTCCGTGTCACTGTTGAGTCTGAAGGGGGACGCAAAGGGCCCAGCAAGCCTTATCAGTCCCTGCCTTCTGGCAGACACTGAATCAAATTCAAACTTTTGGTCTTTCTCCTCCAAACCTCCTCCTTCTGGCGCAGGTCCCAGCAGGGGTGGGGTGCACTGGAGCTGTGCAGCTGCCGCTCTCGGGGCTGCTGCCCAAACACAGGAGATGGTTCTTCCCTTAAAAGCCAAGAGGCAGCTGTAAAACCCACTCCCACCGGCTTCAGAGAGTTTTCTAGAGACCTAGTGCCGTCAGAGAAAAATCCAGACCTCAATTCTTTTCCCATGTTTTCCACAATAGCTTTAAGAAAAAAAAAAAAAAAAAAAAAAAAAAAAAAAAAAAAGCACTGTGCAAAACACAAAGTTCAATCCCTCCAGGCTGAAAGGAAGTGAAATCAAAAGAGAAATACAATTTCTACAGACAAGCTTTGTATTTTGGGGAAGCAACTCTTGGCAAAGGTCAGGGAGGAACGTGACACAGACAGATGGACGAACAGCAAGCGGAGAGCCGCGTGCTGCCGGCACGGCTGCGCCTTTGCAGTTCTGCTCCCAGCGAATGCTAGCACTCAGAAAAATCCTCTCAGCTCTGCTTCTCTATTGCCCTTCAGAAATCACCGTAGGGTGTCTTACTAGGGGATTTTCAGACGTAATATTTAAGCAGGAGGTAAATATGAGAGAAGAAAAGCCACCCAAATCTCTCTCTTATCCTTCATTCATGCCTCGGCTTTTCCTCAATGTGCTTCTTTTGCCCACTGTCCCTGCAGCACCACCCCGAATACTGCGTGGTGTCAGTTTGATTTCTTCTTCAGGAAGAAAAGCTGCATTGTTCAGCATCTTCCCCTGCTGAGCCGTGCCAGAGTGGCACCTATTTTGGCAGAGCCTTCCTCGTTTCCTCATCTCTGACTAATAAGAGATGATGAAAAATATGATTCATAAAAAAAAAAAGAAAAAGATAATCATCTAAGAAAATTAAACACATGCATCTCTAAACGTGGCTTAATTTTCTTAACAATCAACCCTCAAACATCGAGTTTAATCTCAAGGCTCCATCTTGTGGCAAAGAAAAGCAAATTCACTTATTGTGAAATAAAAATCGAAGGTGATGAAAGGGGTCGCTCACTGATGTGCAGGGTAAGTTCAGTGTAATGCCATCGCGATCCCCAGAGGAGCAGACAGGGCTGCGACATTCACGAAATGCCCAAATGGCTGATGTTCTGGAGGGCAGAAATGAAATGCTGGAAAATCCTGCTCGTGCCTGTCGTCCTCTTTGCCCAGCACCGTGCTGGTGGCTGTGGGGCCGTCCCCTCGCCGCTGGTGGCCGCAGGATTGAGGTGCCGGCCCCATGAGGCCTGGCCCTTTGGGCACCAGGCCTGCAGCTGAATGCCATGAGGCAGCCACTCCCATTCACTGTTTTCTTGCATATTTTCAGACCTCATCTCCTTCCCTCCACTTTCCAGGGGGTTGTTTCTTGCTGTTTACTATCTTTATTCACAACATGGCAGGAAGGGATGGTGACTAAAGGGAAGAGAGCTTGGGAGTTGTTTCTGAAACCCACAAGGGCAGCCAGGTCCCTGTGGGGAGCAGCACGGCACGAGCCGTAGCCATCAGGGCCGCTGGCCTCTCTGAGCTACCAAAATGCTGCAGTATGCCTTAAAACCCCTTCCCCGGTGCCATGCCCCATGCTCAGAAGCAGGAGCTGGGCCGCCCTGCCTCCACCAGATAACACACGGGCGGCCAGGGAGGAAGGAGAACCACTGCCTTATCTTCCTTCCGCCAGGACCTCGCCAGAGTGCGTCAGCTTTTTTTTTCTTTTTTTTTTTTTTTTTTCCCTTGCTAAATATAAACTAATGTGAAGTAAGGCTGGTTACAAGCTGAAGAGCTCCCAGGAGCAGGGCCAGGGCTGGGTGGGCCCACGAGCATGCCAGCTGGCTGTCCTGGGACATCCAGGCTGGGCCACCGGGGGCCATGGTTGGGCTGTCCCGGCTGTGGGCTGTGTCCTGGTGAAATGATTATTTCCCTCTGGCGATGCAGGGAGCACGGTGTCATCTCCCAGATAATGTCTTGGGGATGTGGGATGTCCCTCCGGCAACAAGCTGTGGCGTGGCCCTGAGCTGAGCCGGAGCTCCCACACCTCCTCGCTCCCTTGCCCACCAGGAAAAGGCAGTGCACAGGCAGCAGCAGCTGCTGCATTTCTTCAACGTGTGGGGAATTACTGCAATTTTGGGGGTAATTGTACTGATTCAGAAGCGTTTAATGAACTGAAGTATCTTTCTGCTCCGTGCCTTTTTATTTTTTCCTGTTCCAGCTACAATGTCAAGCAACTAATGAATGCAACATGATGTGGTATTAGGTTTAAAGCAGTATTTTCCTGTTGCTGTTCCTTACATGTTGGTCGCACCCTTAATGATCTTCATAGGAAATATTTACTTTGAGGAGTTTGGTTCGGAGTATGCCAAGTGATCAAAACCAGGCAGTGCATGGTCTGCTCTCATATGACTTCAGTTTTTCCTGGAAAGAGATGGGAACAAAAAATCTTACTTTCAAAATTAATGCAAATCAGCTTGAAAATCATCTTGTCCCGATAAATGAACATGCTGTTCTTTCTCAGGCCATCTAGCACTAGCTTTTATTGGAAGAGAAACTCGAGGAGGAATGAACACTGGGAAAAATGAGGTCTGTAAAGGTGGTGCTGGTGGTGTCCAAACGCAGGTGCTACTGCGCAGTGTACATGCGGCATACAGCGAGGAACACGGTTTTTCATCAGTATGAGGAAAATCCCTTTTTGTTTTATGTAAATGTGGGGCTGAGCCATGTGACGGGAAAGGACAGGAGGGACAAAGCCGTCGGCGTGGCCCTGTGCTTCTACCGTGACCACGAGCTGCCTGGGGAGCCAGCCTCCCCTGCCGTGGGCGTTCTTGTGGGAAATGCAGATAAAACACTTTTTAGCTAAACCGTAGCATCACAGCATCTCTCCTTCCCTTAACACTGCCTCCTGCACTCACAGATTTGTTCCCTAAGGACATGCGTTGCACAACTCATAGTGTTTTCCATGCAACTGCCCTAAATACAGATGAGCACACCACAAACGTGCAGCTATATTTCTAAAATTACTGCTTGCATCATTTTTTTGCAGCTTTTAGATAGTCACGGCAGCCACTTACCTCCCTGGGGGGCTGCTCAGAAGGAGGCACCCCTCTGGTGCATCCTAATCTCTACGGAATTCTCTCTACTTTAAGAATCTAAAATCTCGAAGGGAGATTTTAGGAAGACCACAGGGCCTCGATCAGCTGCCTGGGGTAGGGTGGGGACCTCTCACTTTTCCCAGACCATCAAATAAATAGTTTAAAAGCTTTTAAACATGCTAAATTGCCACCTGCCTCCATCACCTGGATTCCTGGCAGTGCTTCTTGGGTACCGCTGCTATTTCCCTCTGCACTGGGGAAAGCCCTTCTGGCAGGGAGTCCCAGCACTGACTCTTTACTAGCCAGCTGTAAGTGACGCTTCACAGCCCCACCAGCACACTTATTTATAAGCGATCAATGGAAATGCAGTTAAACATCCCAGGAGGAGCTGTGCAGGGACAGCAAGTGCTGGATTTTGGTGTGCAGCCAGCATGCTCGAGCTCTCCCAGCGAGTCGCAGGGGCTCACGGAGAACTTTGCTCCTTTTGTCTCCGTAACACGTCTGCTCGTCTGAGACAAGCTGACCTCCAGCTCCTCAGCTGAATAATGAGACAAGGAATGTGTTCAAGCTGTTGACTAAACTGCCATCATCTGTAAGAGATTTCCCATCCCTGTGCCTTAACGGTCAGAGCGACTTTTCGCAGGGTTGTCTCGAGCTTGGCCGCAGTGTGCTGCTTTTTCTGCTCATCCCCTGAGACGGGCTTTTCAGAAATGAGATTGTCTCCTTCACGTGTTTTTTTCTCCTTTATGTGTTGCTGATTAATTGTTCCTCAGCCTCACGTAAACCGGAGCTGCATGCGCACGCTGCCCGTTTCCAGATCCCCGCATTCCTGTGGTGCAGCGTACCGTGCTCTGCTTGTTGCTGAGCCGTGCTGGAGCTGTGCAGGCTCCAGGGACTCCCCACAGCATCGCTCTGGCAAATGCCAACATTTGGCAAGCCCACTTCATTATTTTGGCCCTCAGACCAATCCACAAAACTCTCCGGTTTGGTGCTGGGGATGGGCAGAGTATTTCCAGAGGAACATCTTTCCCTTGCCCCCGCTGCAGCTTCCCACCTCCCTGGAGCTGTCCTCCAAAGCTGTCCACACCTCCGTTTTGATCTCACAGCATCACCAAATCGCTGGCGAGCCTGTAGCTAGAGCCTGGGAGCTGCAGATACTCTGAATAATGCTACTTATTTTACTTTTATTTTGAAGTCCTGCACTAGTGACACTTCCTAGAGGAAAACTCACCCTGCTGCGAGTGGCACCTGCAAGGAGTCACAGCCCCGGGGGCAAGGACTGCTTTGGAGGCTGGACCATGCAAATAGTTTGAAGAAGTCCCGACCTCCTCGTGGCTCAGTGACCAAGTCTCCAACAGCTTTGCTTTGTGTGCAACCCCGCTCTGAAGCCCCGTGATGCCCATTGCGTGCAGGCCATGCTTTGCATACAGTTTCCACCTCCTGCAGGTTCCTTGCCCAGCTGCCCCTCGCTGTCACATCCCAGATGGGACCAAAAGCTGGAGCCTGCCTCTCTCCCCCTTGGTGATGCTAAAGTCGCTGTCCTGGTCCTGGGCGAGTGTTCTGCCCCACTATTTCCCTGCCTTCCTTACCTGCTGCCCCAGGGAAGGCATCTGCTGTTCCTCCGTGCTGCGTGGAGCGTTGCAAGAGATCCTCCTCCTGCTATTTGAAAAATAGTTTGCAGTTTAATTTTATTAGGTTGTCAATAAACCAGCAGGGTGTAATTATACACTCAAACCATCCTGACTTGAAAGCGCTGTGATCACTCCCTTGTTCTCCGTGAGCTGTAACTTAATGCAAAACCCTCTGTCGTTTTCCATTTTCTAGTTCTTTCATTCATTCCCACTGAGTAATTAAAAATGGCTTATAAATAAACACTGGGGATGATTTCCGAAATGTTCTGTATTTACTTGCAAGGCTGGTACTTCTGTCATTGGCCCACTTAAGTGATTTTGAAAGATTGTATACAGGTTCCTTTTACAATGTATTTGAAGTTTGTAATCCTGCTTAAATACACAAAAATAGGAAGGATTAACAAACTGCCACGCTGAGGCCAAAAGAAGACAGAGCTAAAAGCAATCAAGGAGCAGCCTATCGGATACATGAAAT